GTGACCACACCGACCCCAGCGCCGCTGCCAAGCCTGGAAGCATCCCTGGAAATTTTTCTTTGTCAGCCTGTCAAGCAGGCTTGGCAGCGGCGCTGGGATCGTTGTGTTCACTCCCAGGGGAACTACTTCGAGGGTGATGGATGAATTTAATACCTGAGATAAGTGTACGGGTTTTTATACGCGCAGACTTGAAACTTTCCGATCGCACCTCGTATTTATTTATTGTAGATTAATTCAGTTTACCCATAGCACGGACAAAATATTTGGAAAATATTTGCAAAATTTGCGTCAAAGACCCAGAAGGGAAAAAAACAATTTGGAAGACCTCGTTGTAGATGACAGGATCCGCGTAATACTTCTTTATACCAGGTGTGACCAAAAACTTTACCGGAATGTCCGCTAATATGTCGCGTCGATTAGCGAGTGATCGATAACTGAGTATCGACGTATTAAGACGTCTCTAAGGTTGAGTCTTGTGTGTTAATGAAGTAATTAAGGCTGTTGTCACGAAAAGGTCTCAAAATTAGTTTTCGTCCCGGCGTAAAATGAGTTGTATTTTATTGGAACAACGCTTTATCAACTAGTTTTGTGCAAAAGTGCAACATAAATTATGCTGGAAAGATTATGATAATTTCAAACTTTCACTCACAGATTTAGTCACCAATATCATCAGGATGGCCAAATCAGGAATAATGACTGCAGGGGACCACGGAAAACATGAAAAGTGCGTACAAAATTTTGACCGTAAAACCTTACGAGAAAGAAACTATTGGAAAACCCAGACACAGATGGATAATATTAAAATTGAGTTTGTGGAAACAAATCGGGGACTTGTGAACCTTGGCATTCCATAAAGACAACGAATTTATCTCCTAGTTAAGCGTCCATTAGCTTCTCAATAAGGACTCTGCTACATGTAGTTTTGTTGCAAACCAATTTTCTACAAAAATAATAAGATATTACAGATCACGCTTTGTAATGAGAATTTTTAACATTGCGAAACTTTCCTACAGCGCCTCTAATTAAATATATACAAATAAGGCATGGAATCTAGACAGATTTAAGGCTGAATGTCTCTGCTGATAAGGCAAAGACATGTGGAATTCCGTGTACATTTATACCGGCTGCATGTTTTACGGATGACACGTCGCTCAGTATAATTACATAACCGTGTTATTATGCAAGAAAAGAGAGGATCGCCGAGCAACTGATAAGGACAAGGTGCGTTGTCGTGCAAGCCACTGATCCCAAGAGCTGCATCTAAACATGAAAGGTTCCCAGGTGACGCCCGCTCATCCTTCTGGTAAGGATTTAAAGCCAAAGCTCACGTAAATATTTAAGAATTCAGCCCGTACCGCGAAGTAAACACCAAGCTTCACCATTACAAATATCAACTGGTTAACGCTGTTGAAGGAAATAATAGCTGAAGATTTCTGTCTTCTGGGTTGTTGCGCCGTGTAGTCTGGTCGATGTTTACCAACGTTTCAGAGGTCATACTGCCTCCGTCATCAGGGCGATGAGTCTGAAGATGGCTGTCTTCTGGGTTTTAGCGCCGTGTGGGCTGGTAAAAGTTTGCCGACGTTTCAGAGGTCTATGCTATCTCAGTCATCAGTGTCGGTTAATTTCTACTAGACTACACGGCGCAACAACCCAGAAGACAGAAATCTTCATACTCATCGCCCTGATGATGGAGGCAGTATGACCTCTGAAACGTTGGTAAACATCGACCAGACTACACAGCGCAACAACCCAGAAGACAGAAATCTTCATACTC